CTAAAATCAGTATTTGGTGTTAGCAGCATGAAAGCATGGATCCATCCTGCCTGTATTAGCAGTTGAGGCAGCTGCTGGTGGTGCGTGGACATATTTTCAGCATCATTTAAATATCGCGGCCTACCTGAGTATTGTTGCTGACTACGTTCGTCCCTTTATGACCATAGTGTGCGTATCTTTGATGGCTCCTTCGAGCAGCATAAGCACCAGTGTCACAAAGCTCCTATAATCCCAAACTGGTTTCTTGAACATGATGATGAGTTCACTGCACTCAAACGGCCTCGACAGGCACCACAGCACAGCAGCTTTAGAGTGTGGGGGTCGTCTCTTCAGTGCCTGAAAATAGGGAACTGACTGGAGATGCCTGAGATTAAAGGTAGTCTGCACACATATCACTAATCTTTAACGCATTCTTAAAAATTTTAAGGCTGTTCCTGTTGTTTTGTTGAAACTACTGTTGAGCACCTGTTGTCCCAGATCTCATGAATCGAGGCGAAAGGCCGGTTTCATTTTACCGTGATTTAATCAGACACTGAACATTTTCTTGTCAGACGGCGAGCAGCGCAGCTGATCTAATGAAGCTGTTAAAGGGAGGCATCGTGTTTAACTGACAGCAGTGTGATATTGATTTTATAGCTGCTGATTCAAGAGGCAGATGACTGCACAGACAAAAAAAGAGCTCTCTGATATCTCTCTCTTCAGGCTGAGCTGGCGACCAGGGTGGAAAAGATGCGTCAGAGTATCCTGGAAGGTCTCAACTTTGCTCGGCCACCTCATCTGCCTCCTTTCCCCCCACCGCCACCTCTGCCTCCTCACGGGATGCCTTTCTACCCTCCCACTGGTTATTTCTACAACCCGCCTCCAATGACGCCTCCTGCAGGGAGAGGCAGGGGGGTGCCCGGTGAGTTCTGCTCTTTAAAACATGTAGCCCAGTTTAAGGTCATTTCTCACAAGTCTTCAGAAACAAAGTGTGCTCTTAACATTTGATGCCAACTTCTCGCCGTTTCTGTAAGGAATGGAAGCAGTCCAAACACAAGGTGGGAAGCTGGAGATCGCCGGCACTGTGGTGGGTCAGTGGTCTGGTACACGACGCAGCCGAGGAAGAGGAGGCATCCCTCTGCAGGTGGTGTCTGTCGGTGGACCAAACAGAGGGTAACAGAAAGATCGAACGTCTCGCTCATATTACTTTGAGAACAGACTTTTCCATCATTTACGTTACACGAGGAAACTAAGAAAACACCACTTTTTTCTTTTTACCACTGTAGAAAATGAGACGGTGTCATTCACATCAGCATATCGCGCCCATAGTGAAGTAATACGGCTCGATGTATGAACTCACACATTTTTCTAGGCTTTTCGGATCTGAACTTTATGTGTAAAACGATCAGGTTTCTTTGTAATACACTTTATGACTGGTCCTGATGTATGGTCTAAGCCTTCCTGTCTATAAGCTCATGTAAAAACAACTTGTTTTTCATGTAGAGATTCAAAATGTGGCAAAAACAGCAGATTAAAATGAATCCACAGTGGAAATCTGTCTGTTTCTTGCAGCCGTCCAAGAGGCGTGATTTCTACACCGCTCATAAGGACGTTTGGTCGGGGAGGACGGTACCACGCCCGAACCTTCAAGAGCCAGGGAACGTACCTGGTGAGTCAGTCATGATTTCCTTTTATTTGGAGGGACTGTGCAGAAAAAAACATTATCTCTGAAAGAAACAATAACACTGCTCTGGATTTATAACTCCATCGATCCGGACAGGATCCCCAGCACAACAGATAAACACTAACTGTTGTGCAGTTAGGTCC